GGGTGGGTAGCACTCACACTCATAATCCCAGCCCTGGAGGATGAATTAATCATAACCTCTAGAAATCAGCTCCATAAATGCATGAGGATTTGGGGAGACAAATAACACCCCCCAACCAACCAACCAACCAACCAACCAGCCAACCAACCAACCAAAGGACCACCAAAGAAAATTAAAGGATGCATGGCTCTTTCTTGCCCCAAGGTTTCCAAATCAGACCCCTAGGGGACTCCAGAGGCTCCGCGCAGCACTCTTCTCAGAGTGGTCCATTTCTCCTGCAGCCTGTAAATGCTTTCATCTGAAAAGTTCTCTTCGCAAGGGCCTGAGTTCAATCCCCAGTACCACAAAAAAAAAAAAAAAAGAAAGAAAGAAAGAAAAAAGAAAAAAGAAAAAGAAAAGAAAGAAGGAAAAGAAAAAGAAATTTTAAAAAAAAGTTCTCTGACTAAAGGCTTTGAAAATCAGAGTCCTCAAAGATAACCTAAAAATTAGAACCAATGAGTTTGCTGTATGTGGGCTGTAACCCAGGGCTCATGCATCCCAGGCAAGTGCTGTCCCACTGCGCCACCCACCCAGGCCTCCAAAAGCTCTTGTTTTTCTTGCAAAACTCCTTGCTTCTGAGGGTTGTGTCTGAGGGTCTCCTGGGTGAAGGGAGGAGCTGGGACTCAGGGAGGATGAAGGGCGGGCAGTGAGCTCCAGTCTCCTGGAAGCCTCAGACAAGAGGGAGGCCTTTCCTACCAGGCTCCCTACTGTCTTAGCAGTTAACTTTCAGCGTCTTGGAATCAGCGCTCTCCCATCTGCCTCAGGACCTCGGGACACGCTGTGTTGTCCAGTAGGATGCCCTGCCCAGCTTGCTTTCCCATTGAACTCTGACTCCTCTCCCGTCTTCAGCCATCTCCTCCACAAAAACACTCCTGGATTCATCCCATGTGGGCCAGATAGCTGGGTCAGAGGTTCTCCTGTAACCAAGTTCTTCTTCCCCTGGGCAGGAGGCTGCTTGGACATTCTGGTGCCATCTGCCTCTGCTTGGCAGACAAGGGGTCGACACAGGAAGAGCAGGGTCCATTCACTCCCTCCCACATACCCAATGGTCTGCACATAGTAGGTGCACGCTAAATGGTGCCCTCTTTTGGACCCTTGCCGGTTTTACATAGATATCTCATGCCCCTAAATCATGATCAGTGAAGCACACATGCATGGCCCGGCACAGTGGCTCACCCTGTAATCCCAGCACCAGGGAAGCTGAGGCAGGAGGGTCGCCATGTATTCAAGGCCAGCCTATGCTACACAGTGAGACCTGCCTTGAAAAATATTTTTTCTCCTTGAAGATTAAGGTGATGACAGTTGTGGAACAATGTGAATGTACTTAGTGTCCACTGAATTGTACACTTAAACAAGGTCAACTTTATGCTATGTCTATTTTTCTCGGTAAAAGTCCATTGTGCTGGACACAAACAACTATAACCACCTCGCTCCCCTAGTTGTAGATCCTACAGAAACTGGCCATGTGGTCCAGGGGCCATGGTGTGGCAGTTAGCGATGCGGATAATCCCTCTGGAGGAGCTAATTGCAATGGACCCACTGGTGAGCCACCAGGAGCCTGTGGGTATGAACTTGAATCCGACACTCATGCAGGCAGGTGCACTGCCAAGTGGGCATTCTCTCTGCCCTGGAATGCAAGCCCTTGTTTTTCTGTCTGTTCCTTAGACAGCAGCCCCTGGATTTATCTCTGGGCATCATTCACCCCCGACCAGGGTCCGGATGAGGCGGTCACCTGAAGAGAGATATTGCAGCGGAGGGGGGGGGGTTGGAAGGAGGGGAAGGAGGGCACAGTCCCCCTCTGTGCCCACAATTCTGCTCTGGTGATTCCTGTTGGCCCCGGATATGGGCAGGGCCCCGGATGTGGGTATGGCCAGGGGCCAAGGCATTTATTCTACACTCTCCAAGGGAGAGTGGTGACAGAGGAATTTGTGCCCCAGAATCGACTGCGTCTTGCTCAGCTCACAGAGCAGGTGAGTGATGGCCTCTCCGGCCCTTGCGGAGTCCCAACCCAGGCTCCAGAGGCAAAGCGGGGTTGGGGAACCTCAGGCTCTTGGTCCTCCTCTCCCTCACAGAAAGGATCTAACTCAGAGGTGGGTCCCCTGTTCCCTCTGGCAGCACCCACACAATGAAGGCTGACTCCCTCCTCCTCCTCCTCTTCCTCCCCACCCTGGGGCTGCTGGTGTCCAGCGAGTCACTGTGTCCTGTGGATGAAGCCATCAATGAGAAGATCCAAAGCCAAGTCAGCTCCCTAAGTGAGGACCCCTCATCCAACCCCAGCATGGCCTCATGGGCTCCCTAACTCTGGTGGCCAACCTGGCCCAGGTCCAGCCCCAAGGAGAACCAAACCTTTGCCTCAAGCCCACCCCAACCCACTCCGCACTCTCCCAGCCCCCATCTCCAGCCGAGATCTAAATTCAACCAAATTTTCCCAAACCCAACCCCCACCCAACCCTCACCCCCAAACTTTACCTTCCCCCAAAACACCCAAGTCAAGGCAGCGGGACTTGGCATCCAATACTCACGTAGGCAGGTGCACTGTCAGGGGTGCCCTGTCTCTGCCCTTGAATACAAGCCTTTGTTTCTCTGCCTGTTCCTCAGACCACAGCCCCTGCACTTATCTCTGGTCATCACCCCCTGGCCGGTGTCTGGATGCAGTGGTCACCTGAAGAGAGATATTGCAGCAGTGGGGAGGGAGGGCACAGTCCCCCTCTGCACCCATGTGCCACTGCCAGGGCACTGGCTCCTCACCAGGCCTTCCGAGAGGGATTTGTTTTGCTCTTGGTGCCCAGGGTTGAACCCAGGCGTCCCGCAGGCTGAGCGAGTGCTCCACTCCTGAGCCAGGCAGCAGCCTATTCCTAGGGAAACTATTCTGAAGCGGTCTCACTGAGGTGCTTAAGCAGCCTTGGCTGAGCTTGAAGCTGCAGTCGTCCTGCCTCAGCCTCCCAGAGAGCTGTGGTTACAGGGTTACTCCACACCTGGCTCCAGGGAAGCTCTGAATTCTCTGCCAAAATCCAAGTCACCAGGGCCCCTGTGGCATTGAGGATGGAGTCTCACAGGGGGTCCTCCCTCCCGTGCAGGTTTAGGGGCTGTGAAGAACATGGGCCTGGACTGCAGAAGCGTCTCCTCCAGGGGGACCCTGGCCACCTGTCCTGCAGGTGAGCACACCTCCCCTCCTGTGTTCTGCCCTGGACCCCAGCCTCCTCCCTGCATCCCAGCCCAGATCCCCTTTCCTTAGGACCTTTGGGTGTTCAGGCCCTGTCCCTACATCCGGCCCCTCCACGTCCACCCACCCTGCAGCCACTCAGTTCAGGTCCAACTGACCCGCCCCATCTTCCCGCAGGCTTCGCCGTCACGGGCTGCGCATGCGGCATGGGCTGTGGCTCATGGGACGTGCGCGCCGAGACCACGTGCCACTGCCAGTGCGCTGGCATGGACTGGACGGCGGCACGCTGCTGTCGCCTGCGGGTGGTCGCCTGAGCCGGGGGTGCAGGGTGGTGGGGTCTTGGGGGGCTAAAAAAGGGGGGCGAGCCTGGGGATGCTGGAAATAAATAAACCAAGAGACAGCTAGGATGGCCAAGCAGGCAAAGTTGTGCGTGTTTTCTTCAGCGGCGCGGGGCAGGAGGGGCAAGCCTCGGTACCCCTCAGGGAAAGGGGAGTCCGGACTTGCTCGCGCCCTCGTTCTCCTTTCCTGGTGTCTCCCGACTCCTCTTCCCAGAATGGGACCCCAGCGTCTTCTAGTGTCACCCACAGCCGAGGCTCCTGGCTGCCGTCAGGAGGGGACTTGAGGCTCAGCTTGGAGGCCACGGTGATGGTCACCGTGCATCTTAGGTCCCCCAGGAGAGCTTTCCGTCTTCTTCGTCAGACACGTCCAGTCGCCACAGTGTCAGGGTGAAGCCCCAAATCATCCTCAGCCCAGAGCCCCTAACTGCACACCTCAACCCCAAGAGGGACCCCTGAGGCGCGGGCAGAGTTGGGTGTGGAGCAGGAGGAACGTGGCCACCTGCCTCGTGCTGCAGAGGACGTCCGCCTGGAGCTCCGAGCCCCAGGTTCATGTTCACCTGGCCATAACCAGGGCACCCAGAGAGTGCTAGACCTGAAAAGCCAGCTGGTGCGGTGATCCACACCTGCGATCCCAGTTACCCAGGGGACTGGAGCAGGACGATCTTGACTCTGAGCTCAGCCTGGGCAGCTCAGACCTTATGTGCAAAACAAAACAGGAGCTGGAGGTCCTTGTGAGATCCTGGGTTCAATCCCCAATACAGCAAAACAAAAGCAACAGAAGAAAAAAAATCCACCCTGAACAGAAGACTCCTTGCCTCCCTGCGTGCTTAGAGCAGAGCAGGGCATGCAGCAAGCACTCAGCGAGCGTGGAATGAAGAGCCATACAGACACTCAGACGCGACACACAGGGCACTCGCGCGTGTGTGCTTGTACACAGACACACACAGAGCACACAACAGTTACCAGGGCGCCACAGGGGTTTACTTTGCGGTGGAGAGGAAAGGCTGAGATAGGGCCTTGATAAGTCCAGGCTGGCCTTGAACTCCTGGTCATCTTCCTGCCTTAGCCTCCTAAGTACTGGGATTATAGGCATTACCACCACACCTGGAAGTCACTGCTTTTTCTTTCTTTCTTTCTTTCTTTCTTTCTTTCTTTCTTTCTTTCTTTCTTTCTTTATTTTTATTTTTTGGCCTTTGTGAGAAAGGGTCTCCCTATGCAGCTCAGGCTGGCCTTGAGCTCGCTTTGTAGCCCAGGCTGGTCTTGAACTCTGAATGATCTTCCTGCCTCAGTCTCCTGAGTGCTGGGATTACAGGTGCACACCACCATGCCGGACTATTCTTTCTTTTCTTTAACCCCACCCCCGTCTCACTTGGACAGGATTTCACTGTGCTGTTCAGGCTGGCTCCAAATTTGCTATTGTATAGCCCAGACTGGTCTTGAACTGGAAATTCCCCTGCCTCAGCCTCCTAATTACTAGGTTTAAAAATGTGTTTTCTACTTTTTAAAAAAATTTTATTATTATTATTATTATTAATTTATTTATTCATTTATTTTTTTTTTATGTGTGTGGCCAGCTCAGCCCACCAGGGGGCGGGGCTGGCTGGCATGTGGTGCTGGGGGATTGAACTGCAGTCCCTGTGTTTTGCTTAGCTTAGCTTGTTCTAAGTAGGTGTTTTAGACCACTGAGCCATCTCACCAGCCCTGTGTTTTCTACTTTAAAAGAAAATCGAGACTATTACTCCAGGAAAGGCAGATGCTGGCCAGGCAGCCCTCAGAATGTTTCCTCCATGATGTGGCTGCTTGCAGGGCTCCAGTTTAGCACCTACTTTTTTTTTTTTGGCAGAACCGGGGATTGAACTCATGCCCTTACACTTGGGAAGCAAGCGCTTATTCTACTGAGCCATCTCCCTGGCCCCTGTTTAGCACCTATTTACTTCTCAAAAGAAGTCTAAGCTGGTGTGATGGTGCACGCCTATAATCCCCTTGCTTGTGAGGCTGAGGCAGGAGAACCGCCACGAGTAACCTTGTCTCCATAGTGAGTTGGAAGCCAGCCTGGGTATATGGCTAGACCCGACTGACATGGGAAAAAAAAAGTTGGAAAAAAAAAAAAAAGGGTGGCAGGGAAGGCTGCAGAGGGCTGCTGGAATGGCCAGAAATTACCTCCAAGCTGCAGTCCCGCCTCACCACTGTACCTCACAGCAGAGCCCGCCTCCAATTGGTCTGTCTCCTGGGGCTCTTGTAACCCAATGACTTACTTTTTTCTAAGGCCTGGCATAGCAAGGCTGGCGTTGCATCCCTGTTACATTGATTTTTCCTGGGGAGACAGGATCTGTCAATGATTTGGAGACAGAACGTTATCCAAAATACAGCAGAGCTCACTTCCTGCCCATGATCAGAAAGTCGGATACTCTTCATTTTCCTTCCAGAGAGAAAACTATAATCTTCTTAGGCTGCTGGGCCCAGCAGCAGACTTCTGACACTTGAAATATGGCCAGGGTCATACAGGGTCTCACTATATAGATTGGACTCATAGTGATCCACCTGTGTTTAGCCTCCCAAGAGCTGGGATTACAGGCGTGGGCCACCACTCCCATTTCTCAATCCCTGTCTCAAGGGGCCCTGGGGGCAGGGCAGGCTGGTGATTGGCGCTTTAATCCACCGAGCTATTTGGCCAGCCCAGTTTTTACTTTTTTTTTTTTTTTTTTGCGGAACCGGGGATTGAACTCAGGGCCTTGCGCTTGCCAGGGAAGTGCTTTTTCCACTGAGCCATCTCCCCAGCCCAAGTTTTTACTTTTTGAAACAAGGTCTTGACAAGTACTGCAGGCTGGCCTTGAACTCAGTATATAGCCCAGGCTGGCCTGGAATTTTCAGCGATCTTCCTACCTTGGCCTCTTCTTGAGTGCTGGGATTAAAAAAAAAAAAAAAAAAAAAAAAAAAATTGCTTCCTCTGGGTCTCCAGGAAGAGAGGGCAGAAGGGGTAAGGATGTGATCTGACCTCATTCCCAAATGTGGGTGTGGAGTTCCATGGATTGTTATTGCTTATTACATCTTTCCTTCATAGGGACCCTGTGTGTGTGTGTGTGTGTGTGTGTGTGTGTGCGCGCGCGCATGTGTGTGCACATATGTATGACTCAGAACAGAACCCAGGGCCTCTGCACTGAGCTACATCTCTACATCCCAACTTCCCTTTGTTTATTTGGGGACAGGGCCTCACTTAGTCACTAAGTTACCCAGGCTGGGGTTGAACCTGCCATCCTCCTGCCTCAGCCTCCCAGAGTACTGGGGCTATAAGTGTGTACCACCATGCCTGGACCCACAGGGCCTTAAAGAGGAAAACTGGTGTGTGTGTGTGTGTGGAGGCTGGGGAGGGCTGTGGGGTGGGACTGGGGCCCAGGCAAGGAAGATGGAAGAGCACCCAGAAATCCTACCGCCTAATGCCACCATCCTTACCCTACCAGGTGAGACCCTGGGGCCATCAACTTCCTTATTTCGTTATTTCTATTTTTTTCCTGTGAAAATATCTGGGTCAAGGGGAAGTGATAATTGGCTTTTTTTTGAGACAGAAGACAGAAAGGAGGCAGGCAGACAAGCTCACCCAGGCAGTCTCTGTCTCTCTCCAGACATGCACGCATGCATGTGCACATGCATGCACCAATACCCCTTCCTGTACAGTTTCTGTTCCAAGCCTAAGGGCTGCTTTTCCTTGTCGTTCCAGAGACCCAGTCCCTCTCCGACCCTCTGAGTGTGGCAGGCAGTGAGACCACTCTTGGGTGCAGAGTCATGGATCCCTGAAAAGAGGGGGCCGAGCCTCATTTCCTTCCTCAGCCTGAGATTTCTCCATCAGCCCCAGAGCTTCCGGTGGGAGGGGATGTGTGGACACACAGGCGGGCTGGGCACCATGGAACCTTCCAGACCAATGTGAAACAGCAGGTCACCATGCAGGCAGCGGCCTTCAAAGACAAGCACCGGGGGGAGACAGGCGACAACAAAGGTCAGGATCCTTGGGAGGGGGAGGGGTCTGGAAGGTGGGCTTGGATGGAAGAGTATGACAGGGACCAACATGGCCACCCAAGGGCTCTGTGTGTCCCTGGCCACAGACCCCTGCAAACACCAAGCACCCCTGGAAATGTCTTGTGTTCAGGGCATCTGGCAGTTCTTGGTAGGCTTTCTCTCCAAATCCTATGCAGGTGCCTCTGACCCTGAGTATGAGAATATCACACTGTCCTTCCGAGACCGGGACCAGCCCAAGTGTGGTCATCCAGGGCCCACGAAACGAGGTGAGTGACCACGGGCCTGCCCGCAGCTCCCTGCCTTGGGAAGGACTGGCAGTGAAAGCAGTGAGCAGTGGCTTTGAGGACTGTGGTGTGACAGTGTGGGGTAGCTTCAGTGTGGTGACTGGGGTATCCAAGATGCTTCTGCTGGTGGGCTGGGTGGCCTGAGTGACAGTGTTGGAGAGATTGTAAGTGACAAAGTAGTTGATGGGGAAGGAAGAGGTGACAGAGCTGCTGAGCATACAGATGAAGCTCCTGGATGGTGACACTGCTGGCCACCAATATTGATGCCAGCGGGTGCTTTACTGCTGGCGAAAGGGAGCAGTGGTGGCTGAGTTGCTGAGATGGTGACCATGCCTGCCACTGACGGCCCCAGCCCCGGAGGTATTGGAACAGCGAGTTGCTGAAGGTGTTGGAGAAGTGTCGATGGGCTTGCTGGTGGTGTGGATCCTAGAGGTCACCTGGCCTCTGTGTCCCAGCCCTAGTGCAGCCCAGGTCACCCCCGGACAGCGCCCAGGTCCCCGTGCGGCTGCAGAGGTCCATCATGGGCCTGTATGTGCTCCTCATCCTGATGTTGCTGTTCTCCCTGGTTCTCTCCACTTTGGTATTGCTAAAGAGTGAGTGCTCTCAGGGGAGGGCAAGCCGGGAAGCCAGAGTCCCCCAGACCTGCTCCCTTTCCACCGGCTCTGTCCCCAGCTCTGCCCTCTCTTAAACAGATGCTGAGATGTCCAGAGAGATACAGGGCTTGAAAAGGGAGTTTTCCAACGGTGAGCACAGGTTTCATGGGAGAACTGCGGGTTTTGGGGGGGGGGGGCGGCTCGGGGAAAAGGTGGTCACCCAGACATGGCAACCCCGTACCCTCAGTCTCACACTCAGCGCTGCAGTGCCAGGAAGAACAAAGGAAGGGCTGGGCCACCATCCACAGGAACATCGGGGAAGTCACCAAGAGTATCACCACAGTCCAGAGCCTCATTGAAGCCATGAACCAGAAACTGAAGTCAGCGCCCACAGGTGCCACCACAGAGCCGCCCTCTACTGAGCGAATCTGTTCCAGTGCCCAGCATCAGGCGAGGAGCTCAGGGTTTGGAAGGGGCAGAATGATGTGGAGTCTCTCAGGGCTATTTGAAACTGTCAGTAGCCCCAACTACAGGACTGTGGGCGAACCCCAGGCTAGAAGCTGTCTGAGGGGGCTCCCAGTAGAAAGGGGGGTTTGTCTGAGGCTGCACCCCAGCATCCCTTGTCTCCTCTCCTGTCAGAAATAACACAAATCAACAGAAACACACAGAAAATCCTTGAGGTGCTGGAGAAGAAGACAAACACGGGTAAGCCAGGCCCAGGGAAGCGGTCAGGGTGGCCCATCGGCCTGGCCGGCGGGTCTTTCCCAGGGGCTGGCCCACCTGACCCTGGTTTTCTCCTCCCCCCACCCAGAGCCCATTAAATAAGAGCGTGCTGCAGTCACAGCTGGGAGAACAGGATCTGCAGCTGCTAGAGAGATGGGAGACGGGCTTCCGGCCAACCTCGCACCTGCCTCTCATCGTAGGGACGGCAAACTGTGTCAGGGTGGATGTGGGAGGTGGGGTTGTGTGTGTGTGTGTGTATGTGTGTGCCACTGAAAGAGCACTTTATGGAGGGTGACAACTTCCCTGTGACCCAAGGAAGGTGCGTGGGTGGTGTGTATGTCCATGCTGCATGTGACACATGTGTGTGGCATGACGTGTGAGCACAGTCATCTCTCAGTGGGCGGCTGTGTCAGCGACGACCCCACGAGTGTGTCACTGTGTGTGGGTGGGTGCATGTGACACCTGCCTCTGTCAGCACCCTCAACCCCGAGCACATGGTGCTTGCTGTAAAGGCGGGTGTTGCCACGTGCGCCCTGCCACTGCTTCTGTGTCAGTGGGTGCATTCAAATCCCACGCACGAGTGTCCATTCATTCCTACACTGTTTTGAGGTTAACAAAGATAAAAATCAAGAGGAAACAACGTGGCTTTGGACCTGTTCTTGGGGCAACTGCGAGGCACTGCGGATGGCAAGTGTGAGCATACGGGACACATCCAGCATGGACACAGAGCGGGGATCCCTGGGGTGGAAGGGTGGACACAAGCAAATGCTCCGCACAGGCCCTCCGCCCTGTGTCCTAGACGGTGCGCGCAGTGCAGGCAGCGAAATGTAGACGTCCCCCTAAGTGCACTGGGTCCCTGGGCGTCTGTGAGCCCCTAGGCGTGCTCTCAACGGTGCATCCGGGTCCTGCTTGCACCGTGCCCGCGACTCGTGCGCGTACCCGACACCAGCGAACTCACACACGCGGTTCCAGAACAAGAGATGTGTGTCCAATGCCCTATGCATGCCCGGAGCAAGAGACCGCGCGCGCCACCGCCAAGCACATCGGGCCGCTTGCCCACGCGCGCCACCCTGCGGCCGCTCCCAGGCGCCGCCCTGCGCGTCCCGCCCACACGCCCGGCCTGCCGAGCGCCTGCGCACGCAACGCCTTTTACGGCGCCGTAAAGCAGCTCGGCCTGAAGGAACACCGCAGTTCCTGGTGAGACCCCGTCGGCTGCGGGCCTGTGACCCTGTCTAGCGTCGTTGTCTCCAAGCCCGCGGGTCTGTGCGTACCGTGCCGGCCCTTCGGCTTCTGCGGAGCCTGGCCTCTCCTTTTTGGCTTACCCCTGGGGGTTAGGAGCAGGGTGGGCATCTACCCGGCTTTGAGGACTGGGCGGGGGTCCCAGGGTGTCGGGGTCCCAGGGTGTCTGGGTCCGGCCTGCGGCGGCGCAGCCCACTACCCTCATCGCAGCTGGTGCAGCGCTCCCTTTCCCATCATCTGCACCCCGGGGTGGGGGCGTCCTGGATCCCTGGAAGACTCCTCCCAGCTGGTAGCCCGCGGGTCCCCCATCCCACATCCCGCATCCCTGCCAGATGGGAGCCAGGTTCTTTCCCCTTGAGCCCCTGGTGGAGGCCTCACCCCAGACTTGCAAAGAGGTGAAGTGGGTGACCCATGAGGTGGGTGACCCCAGCAGGCCCTACTGCCCGCTTTCCTGACCCTCCTCCGCCTGCTGTGGCTTCGTGCGCCGCCAGGGAAGGGTCACAGCGCCCTCTCATGGCTGCCCAAGTCCTGGGGGTGACCGTGGGCCCGCTCTAGTTTCCCACCATCTAGAAACTTTCCTAAAGCGTTGGGGGCCTGCCCACATTCTCCGAGCTCCTTTTTCAGAATCACCCAGGGCATGGTGCCAGACTTCCCGTGGGCGCGTGGCATTTCCCTGTGCCTTTTGCCTTGACCCTTGGATCTCGTGTTCCCCCAAACCCCTGTTCCCCCATGCACACCTGTTGCCTGTTCCCTCCCTTATTCTGGCTTCCATCAGGATGGACAGGAAAGTTGCAGAGAGAGAGTGGTTTGTGCTGGAGAGCGTAGCATTGATGCAGATGGACGGGGCGGGCGATGTCCCAGGGGCCCCTCGAGCTCTCCCTCGGGTCTCCCCATCACGCCCCCTCTCCAGCGCCCCTGACACTGGGTGTCCCGTCTCCCCACAGGGCGGCGGAGGCATGGAGGCGCGCTTTACGCGCGGCAAGTCGGCGCTGCTGGAGCGCGCGCTGGCGAGGCCCCGCACCGAGGTGAGCCTGAGCGCCTTCGCGCTGCTCTTCTCCGAGCTGGTGCAGCACTGTCAGAGCCGCGTCTTTTCCGTGGCCGAGCTGCAGGCGCGCTTGGCCGCGCTGGGCCGCCAGGTGGGCGCACGCGTGCTGGATGCGCTGGTGGCGCGGGAGAAGGGCGCTCGGCGCGAGACCAAGGTGCTGGGAGCTTTGCTGTTTGTCAAGGGTGCCGTGTGGAAGGCGCTCTTTGGCAAGGAGGCGGACAAGCTGGAGCAGGCCAACGATGACGCGCGCACCTTCTACATTATCGAGCGGGAGCCGCTTATCAACACCTACATCTCCGTGCCCAAGGAGAACAGCACGCTCAACTGTGCCAGCTTCACGGCAGGCATTGTAGAGGCTGTGCTCACGCACAGTGGCTTTCCCGCCAAGGTCACGGCGCACTGGCACAAGGGGACTACGCTCATGATCAAATTCGAGGAGGCTGTCATAGCCAGAGATCGGGCCCTTGAGGGCCGCTGAGCCCCCTGAAAGATAAAGGATGAGAGAGCCAGCTTCCCAAGTGTGTCTTGTGTCTTGTGTGGGGGCCTCAGGCATCTGCTCAACATCTTGACCTAGGTCCCTGTCCCAAGCTGGTAAGGGAGGCCAAGGATCTTTAAAATCTTGGGGAGGTGGGGAGGGTCTGGGGGTCTGGCCCCACTGGGGCTTTCAGATAAAGCTGGGGAGCAGGATGCACCTGGTGCATAGACCAGGGAGAAGGAGCCAGTCAGGAATCACAGTGAGGGCTGGTTGGCAAGCTAGAAAGGGGGCCAGGTCTGGTCTGCGGGGTCATGCGAGGATAGACCAGGGGTTGGCAGGTTGGCAGGAAGCAGAGAGCAAATAGTTCATACCATGCAATCTGTGAACCCTTTGTTGTTTTCTGATGGGGTCTTGCTGTGCAGTTCAGGCGGGCCTTGAACCTTTGAGCCCTGGGCTAGGCTCAAATTTGCTTCAGTTCCCCTGCTTAAGCCTCTGGAGTGCTGGGGTGACAGGTGTGCGCCACCACACTTGGCAGTGTACTCTTCTGAGAGTTGGAAAGGAGCCACAGGGATAGTAAGGGAAAAGGTATGGCCAGGTGCCTATAAAGTTAAGAATGGTTGTCACTGCCTCTTGGAATTCCTCATGGTGTAGTCCTTGGCCCAGCACCATCCATCAGCATTGCTTGGGAAACTCGTCAGTGCAATATCTCGGGCCCACTCAGACCTCCCAGATCAGTGAATAGCGGCCCAGCTCCCAGAGGTCCCTGTGTACCTTAGTTGGAGAATCAGTACTTCAGGGCATCAGGACTGCTTGGAGGGCTCCTTAAATCACGGGTGGCTGGGACCCACCCCCCAGAATCTCACAGTCTGTGGATTTGGGGTGTGCCTGAGAATTTGCCTCAGTGACACATTCCTGGGAGCTGCTGGGTGCTCTCGGGACTGACCGCACTTTGAGAATGGTGGCTCTAGAGACCTGCCTGGTGAGGGACAGGAGTCCAGAATTGTCTGGGCACTCAACATGTTTTGAAGTTGTGAAATACAGAGTTGGTACCTGAACATTTTCCTTGTTGAAAAATTACAAGCGCTTATATTGGGCAATCCTTGTTGCTCTGCTCCCACTGCCTGTGGGCCCTGATTGCTCTTTCTGCCCAAGAAACCTCTCCTGATTTTTAGGGGAAAACTGGATCCAGTCTTCCTCGTTTCTTACCCTATCTGTTCCAAGAGGGAACCCTAGGAACCTTTAGCTGGGTGCCTTCATTGTTTAAGAGAAGGGTTTGAGGTTGGGTGGGTGTAGGTTTTTGGTGTGCTGTTGGGGTGCCCCAGGGCCAAGTCAGAGGGGGGTCAGCCATCCCAGCATCCCAGAGGTGATAGCTTGGGGTGGGATCCTGCACAGTGGCAAGAAGGTAGCATGAGTGTGGTTGATGTAGCTCAGCAGCATGGTCAGTTGTGTAGTTGTGGTTGTGGGAGGCAGGAGCCAGGGCACTGGGAGAGGCTTGGGCAGGATGCCAGCTTGGATCTGGAGTGGAGGCCAATAGAGGAGGAACAGGTGGGCAGGGTAGAGCAGCTGGAGCCCTGGAGCCCTGGGCATTGGGGAGGTGGGTAAGACGCCTGGGAAGCTATGCTCTGCAGGGAGAGGCAGGACTGGGCGGTGCAGGTGGGATGTGGGGACCTGGCTGGGGGCTTCCAGGGTCTGCTGCAGATGGGGCAGGAGGCTGGGAGGATAGCCAACACTGCCCAGGACAGTGAGGGTGTCAGAATAAAGGGGCATGGACTTGGTGGCAGCTCGTAAGCTGGGTCAGTCTCCTCTAGCTGAGGGTGAGTGGGAGCTTTGGAGGAAGGACAGGGTCCGGACAAGCTGCAGGTTGGGCTGGCCCACATTCAGGGCAGGAGGGGCTGAGGGGCCACGTTCATTTGGGCCTCGATGTCTCCTTGGAGGCCAACGCTGGTGGGGACAGGGAGGTGAGCCCAGCACTGGCCATGGCGAGCTGGGCCACGAGGCAGGTTCCATCCCTCTGTGGCCACAGGTTTATTTTGTCAAATATTTACAGGGGGCCAGCTGTGAGCCAGACATCGGAGAGGCAGTGGGGAAGAAAGTGAAGGTGCTTCCCTCACCTCTGCTCATCGTCTAAAAGGGGGAAGACAGGCGTGAGACAGATTGGAAAGTGATATTTGTTAGAAGGAGAAGTTTAGCCAGACTTGGGGGCACACACCGGTGATCCCGGCATGGTAAAGAAGAAAGGAGTGAAAAAAGGAGAGTCAGGTAGTATAGTTGTTAAAATTCTGGATCTTTGGTGCTGGGCCTCGCACCCAGGGCTTTATGCATGCCAGGCAGCCCCTGAGCTGTGCTCCCAAATGGGGTACAGTTGTAAAGGAGGGGCAGGGACAGCCCCCCCCCCCCCAAAGCGAAGCCTAGGAGAGACGGGGGAACTGGGAGGAAGGGCCCTGGGCCACGTGAAGTGCATATTCGGGAAGTGCCGATTGGGACCTGTAGGAGTGTTTTTTTCTCAGCTGGAAGGAAATTTGGGGCACTGAAGAGGGAGATGAGCCAGCTACTGTGGGGCACAGGTGTGGGCACTGCATTCAGAGGCTGAGGCTGGAGGGTTGCCTGAGCCCAGGAGTTAAAGGTCAGCCTAGGCAATGTAGATCCCATCTCAAATCAAAGGAAAACTAGGGAGCCAGGTGGAGGGGGTGGGGAGTGAGGCGCCAACTCCGAACCAGGTTGGTGGGCTTTGCCCACCAACAGGACTTGGAGGCATCGAAGGGGAGAGGCCAGCATGGCCACGGAGTCAGCCTGAGCCTCAGTGGAGGAGCCTGGTGAAGGCGTCCAGGGAGCCTGACTGGTTGCCCTCCTGTGGTTTCAGCGGTGACAGCTGAGGTGGCAGACCCTCAGGCTGGTGCTGCCTGGGCCTCCCGGCTGAGCACTGTCAGCACTTCCTGTGTGTGCTTACGCCCAGCCCTCTGTGCTGCTAGGGACAGGGCTCCCCTCTGGGGACCCACAGCCTGGGCTGCCCAGTATTCCTGGGGGTGTTAGGCCCTGGGTCTTTGTGTCTGGGGCTTACCTAGTACCTTTTTTCCCCCCTTTTTTGAGATGGGGTCTCTGTGGCCTAGGATAGCCTCAGGATTCTTCTTCTTCTTCTTTTTTTTTTTTAATCTTTTTTAATTTCAATTTTATTGAGAAACAAATATGAATGAGACATTTTTTTTTCTTTTTTCTAGTGTGTGTGTGTGTGTGTGTGTGTGTGTGTGTGTGTGGGGCCAGCTCAGCCCACCAGGGGGCAGGGCTGGCTGGCATGTGGTGCTGGGGGATTGAACAGCGGTCCCTGTGCTTTGCTAAGCTTGTTTTAAGTAGGTGCTTTAGATCAGTGAGCCATCTCACCAGCCCCGAATGAGACATTTTCAAAGCTGAATAATAGGACAGTTTCGATAATCAATACATTGTACATTGTTATCTTCTTAGTGGTTAGCCATAGTAGGAGAAGCAGACAGGATATCCTGTTCAGGATTCTTTTTGATCCTCCTGCGTCAGCCTCCGGAGTGCTGGGATTACAGGCATGCCACCACACCCACCTAGTACATTCTTGGGATGGGAAAAATCAAGGTGGAACAGGCACAGAATCCACTTCAGAATCCGCTCTGGATTCTCAAAAATTAGCCTGGGGGTGTGGTCTGGGGCAGAAGGCTCTGGAATCCCAGCTCAGCCTGCTGCGGTTTGAGACCAGGCCCAGCAGGCACTCTGGAGGGACTTGGGGAGGGAGACCACTTCCTGGTTCACTGGTGTGGGTGGCCAAGAGGACCCGCTGCCTCTGCGGTGTGGGGTCTGTGTCCTGTGGTGCTGCGGAGGGCACGCTGTGACGAGGCAGGGCCTTGGTGAGAGGCCCGTGCTCTTCGCAGCTCCTGGGCTTGGGCAGGATGGTTCTGGCCCAGGGCAGTGAGCTTTACTGGCAGGGAGGCGGCAATGGGCAGCTGGGCTGAAGGACAAGGGACAGAGGGCCCTGATGGAGGTGGGGAGGCTCAGCTGTCACCCTTTGGGGCACCTTTGAGCCAGGCAGCGTTCCCCAGGGTGTGGTGGGGTCTCCAGGGCCCCACTGTGGATCTGAGTGTTCCCGGGGCAGGAAGGTGGGATCAGGGTGTGGCCGTTAGGGCCCCTATGTTGAACCGGAGTACAGTGAGTCGGAGTCCAGTGAGTCGTCTGTCGGGTCCGCAGGGAAGGACGGCCCACATGTGGCCAGCTGCTCACACACCCAGGCGTCCAGCTCATCACGGCAGAAGGCATCGTTCCATTTCCCCGAGCGCAGCAGCATCACGCAGTCCTCACCTGGGTCCGCGTTGTTGGGCTCCCCCGGCTGCCAGTTGCTGCAGCAGAGGCTTTGAGTCAGGAAGGCAGGTGTGGGGGCCCCCTAGAGCCCGGATGCCTCCCTCTGAGCCGGCCCTCCCCAACTCGGACCCAGTTTCATCACAGGTTGTGCCTCTCTGGGCCTGCACCTGGCCTCCACAGTTACAACTCCTTCCCCCAGACCTGCCCTAGAGACTTAGGTTTGGAAAGTCCTCCCTGAGCCCCTGCCTCTTACCTCCCTGTGGGCTGCTATTCCCTAGTAGCCTCCTTTCCTCCCCAGAAGCCTCAGCAGGCCCCTCCCTCCGGGCAGCGCCTCTCCCATGGTTACCCCACATGCTGACCTGTAGTCCACGGAGCTCCCATCCATCCAGAGAAACTGCCCCTCTATATCCAGGTCGCGGAGTCCAATCCAAGTGCCCTCCTTTTTGGCAAGTTTGGTCAGGAAGTCCTGGGGGCAGGACAGGGCTGGAGGACTGAGCAGATGGACCTGGGGCCCTCCTGCCCACTGCAGGGGGACACCCCTACCCCCGCTGTCCATGGCTTCTGCACCACCCAGGCTACCTGCTGCTCCTGGCTGTGAATGCTGACCAGCCGCCCTCCCAGGTCTTCGCAGCTGTACCGGGCCTGGAGCCACTGCTTGGGCTCCTCGCCAAAGTAGTAGCACTTCTGCTGGAAGCTGACCCACTGCTCGGGGCATGCGTTGCACACAGAGCCTGGGGTTGTACACGAAGGAGAGGTGAGGGGGCTCTGCGGTGGGTGCCGGCGCTGGGCAGTGTGGCAGTGTCTCCTGGAGCCTCCCACTAGGCTAAAAGCACTCACCTGGAGCCTAACAGGTGAGGCCACAGGCTGCCTTCCCTAGAGCTCTTTCTGCCTACCACACAGGATCCTTCCCAGCAGACCGCCTCAGCCACCAGCACTACTGCTAGACATCTCACAGCAAGCACTGACACCTCAGGGTTAGAGCACCTCGGTTCGGGCCAACATCACAGATCCGAGCACACCCATGGCCAGGAGCACCACAGCCACCAGCGCCACCCCAACCTGGCCAGTTCCTTTCAGCAGCACCTCTCCATGAACACCTCCAGGGTCAGCAGGATCCTGGACACCATCATTCCACAGATGGCCCACCCACCCTGGCCACACCTTACACCTCAACCCTCACTACAAACATCCCAACTGCCTCATGACAATAGCTCAGCAACCACGGCCACAAATACTTTAGACCACAAACACCTTGGCTCTCAGAACCATCCCCATAAATACTGATAGGTTTTAGAGCAACAGCAATGGCGGCAGTGGTGGTGGCACAGCAGAGAAGCAGAAATGGGGGAGGGAAAGCCTTTATTGACTCTAAACACATGGAGAGGACCAAGGACAGGGAGATGCTCAGGTCCTCTAACCTGAGACAGGGAGCCTGAGACTATATGGACTTCTGCTAGGGGTGGAGCTTGAGGGGCGGGTTTAGGGACGTGTAAGGAGCTGATTGGAGGTTCCCTTGTGTGGGCGGGAAAGGTCAAAGGAAGTTGTACCCAGGGCTGGAGTGGGGAAGGACCAGGAAGTGGTCATTGAGAAGATAAGCTGTTGTTTTAAGGGCTTCAGCCATATTAGACGACCACCATAATAATTCAGCAATTCTTACTAGGGCCATAACCTATCAAATACCTCCCTGTCTATTGCCATTTCAGCCAACACTACCACCGCGACCTTGCCGGTTCTGTAGCCTGTAATACCTGCCTGCAGACACTCCCAGGAGTAGCAGCACCTCAGCCACCATTGTTGCCACAAACACCTCAATCTCCAGCACCATTGCCACAGATACCTCACAGCTAGAGGCACCTCAGCTGTCAGTGTCATCCCCAGGAGTACATCTAGGGTCAGAAAGTCCTCAGTGGTTGACCCTATCCCTGTCAAAAAAACCCCATGGTATGCACCACCTCAGTCACCTCCACTGTGACAACAGACACACTCATTCCCAACAACAAGAATGCTTGACCACCATCACCACCACAAACCCCTCCAGCCACCAGTACTTCAGCCACCGACATGGTGACGGAAACACATTTCCATGCCACAGCACTCAGCGCTTCACCCACTGACATCAGGGCTATAAATCCACACTCAGCAGCACCTCAGCCACCAACACCATGGCCACAGACACGCTCATGTCCAGCATTTCAGCCACCACTTTGTCCACAAACAGCCACTGGGCCCCAAGCTCCATGGAAAAAATCTAACCAAAGTTTAGGAGTGGTCGTGCTCAGGGGTAGGGTATTGCTTAGCATACAGGATACCTGACTTTCTTCTCCAGCACCTCCAAAATAAATATTCTAAAGCAAAAGAGAGGGCTGGGGAGATAGCTCAGGGGTCTAAGTACCTGCCTGGGTGTGCCATGTTGGTGGTGGTGTATGCCTGTAATCCCAGGGCTGGGAGGCTGAGACGGGAGGATCACTATGAGTCTGAACTGCATAGGGAGACCCTGTATCAAAAAACAAAACAAGAAAAAAAACCAAAAGAACAAATTCAGCAACATCAGATTTAACCTCCCACCTGGAGTCTTGGTGACCATCACAGTGTTCAAGAATTTTGGATACAGATGGGGAAGGGAAGAAAGAGATAAGCTGGCCCCAGGTGGAGGACCCCATCAATGCATCGATGAGAAACCATTTGCCTCCATAGCCAGTACCTCTGTGGTCAGTAACACATCCACCGTCACCGTCCTGGCCACCGATGCTGCCCTTGTCAGCCACACCTTTGTCACCCTTACTACCACCGCAGATGCCTCATGGCCCACAGAATGTCCACTGCCAGCACCATCACCACGAAGACCTCCACGGTTAGCGGCCCTCAGCCACCAACACCGTCACCATGCACAGCTCCAAGGCCGGCATCGCTTTGTCACCAGCGTTGTCACCGCAGGAACCAGCTGCTGCCAGCCACGTGTCACTGCTACTCATACCACAGCCCATCCTGTCCCTGCCGCCCACAACACCGTGTGCTAGTCACCGCCATATGGCCCTAGGCCCTGTCCTTACCAACGGCTCCACACGGCGCTGGCCGCCATTGCTGGCAGCAACCACCCTCCAGTGCTGCAGCCCTTTTCTGGGGGTCTGAGGTGGTTTCCTCTTTTCAGAGGCTCTGACCTGAGAGCCCACGGGGAGGGAAAGGAAACTGCAGCCACAGGCCCCTGGATCCTCCACCGGGGTGAGCTTGGTTTCTTTCTCGCCCTTCCCCATTCAGGGAAGCTCTGTCTGACGCCGGCATTGTCAACAAGTCTTGCGGTGGGACATTAATCCCGCTGTCACTGCACTGGTTCTCTTTGTTTTAGAATATTTATTTATTATTATTTTTATTTTTTAGAATATTTATTTTTGAAGTGCTGGCCAAGGAAGTTTGGTCTCCTCATGCTAAGCGATGCCCTACCCCTGAGCACGACCAGTCCTAAACTTGGGTTAGATGTTTTCTCATGGAGCGTGGGGTCCACAGTGGCATGAACCAGATGCACTTCTAGTCCATGCACTGATAACCAGTGGTCAGCCCAGTTTGGGTACAGCCTTAAGACTGGAAGGCAGCATCTGTGGGCTGGATACGGTGGCCTCAGCCTGTAGAAACAGGTACTCTGGAGGCTGAGGCAGGAGGACTCCCTCGAGGCCAGGAGTTTATAGAAGTTTGAGCAATATCGAGACCCTGTCTCAGTTTAATAGTCATGATGATGGTGGTGCTAATGCTATGTCTCTGTCACACAGTCACCCAGAGGTGGCCCTAGCGCTGGACCTCAGGCCGTGGGACCAGATTTTGGGGGTGGAGGAGGACCTTAGGGAAAGGGTAGGAATGGGGACATCTGTCAGGGTGAGCATGACCCAGTGCCCAGTCCTCTTCCCTCCACAGTGAAGCCCGGCAGGGTTTCTTGCTGGGGTTCCCAAAGCTGTGCTGTGTCTCTGGGGACAGGACTCTTTCCCACCAAGCAAGGCTCCTTCCTCTTCTCCTACCCAGTTGGAGAGCTGGGGCTTCCCAGAGGTGGAAAACCAAGAATCAAGGGCAGGTCAAGGCCGGGTGCAGGTGGGGTGGACGGCAGGGTTGTGAAGCTCTGTCTGGCACTGCAAATCCAAGGCGCAGGGATGGCTCTCTGCATCCTGCTGGCCTCTGGGGGCCAGTGCCCCCCCCAGCTCTGCCACCCTGGGAAGGGCGTCGCCAGCCCTGTCATCTTCATTGCTGCTGACATGCCATCCTGCAGTGCCCCCCGGTGACTTGGTCTCCTGCGGGGCTGTGGCTGAGGGGACCCTGCCGAGGGTGACCACCACCTGCTCACACTCACCTTTGGACACCTGGATCTGCACCCGCAGCTTCGCCAGCTCTTCCTTCAGCCTTTCCAGTGACTCCAAGGCCATGTGCCTCTCGTTCAAGTCTTGAGGGACCAGGGGTGTGTGCATGAGATTCCCCAGCCTCCAGTGACTAGCTGGCCACCCCCGACACACACACGGGTTCATGCCACTGTGGCCCCCTTCCCAGGCTCACTCTGGGACTTGATGCTGCTCAGATCCTCCCAAAGTCTGTCCAGGTTCTGGGAGAGCTCTGAATCTGGTGGGTGTGAGAGGGACAGGGCTCAGGGGACCATGCAGGGGCCAGAGGGCCAGCCAGCCTCATGGTCCCCTGTGGCTTGGGGCCCCTGTCTCCCCCCTCCAGTCTCTCACCTTGAGGTTCCTTCTGCTTTTTCTGTCCAGCTTGGAGTTCTTGCACAGCCTGTGACATCAGTGCCGCTGGTCACAGAGAGGGGACAATGTCAGCAAGGCCCGGAGCCTCCGCCCCTGCCCCCTGCCTCCTCCCCTGCCTCTAGGTTCTCAGCGCTGCCTGCTCCTTCTGCAGGTGTGGCAGGGACGCAGCTGGGCCCTGTGGAGCGTACCCAGGGGTCACCCAAGTGCCCTGTCTCCTCCTCCCTGCAGCCCCCACAGTGACTCACCCTGATATTTCTGGGCCAGCTGCTCACTTAGGTGGCTCTGCAGTTCTTTAGAGATTCGAGAGACTGGAACAGTGGGAAAGGGGACCCACTGAGGCAGGTCCTTGGGCCCTCCCAGCCCCAAGCGCAGGTCCCCCTGCCCATAGCACCTCGGCTGTGCCTTTGTATCTTTCATATCTTGGGGAGACTGAGAGGTGGGAACATTCGGGAAGGTGCAGGCAAGAAGAGATGAACATGGGCTCCTTTCCTCACCCAGGACTAAATGGAAAAGTAGGGGGCATTTCTGCAATGAAGCACTCCCCGCAGTGTAGCTCATGGTGCCGAAAACACACCCTCTTTACAGAGGGGGAAACTGAGGCACGAGAGGGCACCACCTGTTAAGGTTCGCAACCTGTTAGGGACTTCTCCAAGACTTCTTGGAGTCTGTTTCCTCTTGGGGAAGAGGGGATTCTAGGTTCCTGGGCAGGCACTGCGGCCCACAGATGGGTCAGTGGCAGAAGAGGGACCCTAGCACTGGTGTCCTGATCTTCGCTTCTGTCACCCCCTTGGTATGGCCCCTCCGTACCATTCTGGGCAGCAGCGACTTCCAGCTGTCTCACGTTCCTCATGGTGTCCCAATCTGGGGAACAGGGAAGGCAGGGGAGGAAAAGATGGAGTAGGCATCCCCACCCCCACCTCCAGCCCCACCTTTCACCTGGGAGGAGGGTTTGGGGGTAACCCAAGGTGGTGAACGGGACTGGCAGTATCAGTCAAGGCGGGAAACAAGGTGGGGGAATGAGCTCCCCAGGAGCTGAGATGGGGTCGGGTACGGTTCGGGGCGTCGGGGGCTGGGGGTGTCCTCACGCCACAGAAGAAGCAGGGTCAGCAGCCCCGCCCAGAGAGCGGCAGTCAGCAGCCCCAGCAGTCCCAGCGGCAGCCCTCGCCGGCAGCACCTCTTCCTGGGGAACTCGAAGAATTCTTCGGGGACTGGCGGGAAGGATGCAGGGTGTAGGGGAGGCCGGGCCCCATCTCTCCTCTCCCCCTCACCCGACCTCCTGGGAGACTATGTGGAGCCCCGGGTGGAGGCAGAGGGTCTGTGCAGAGGGACGCCGGCCCTCTCAGTCCGCACCCTCCACCCGGGCTCAGCAGACAGAGTCGGAGTAGGTCCAGGTCCTTCCCACAGGCTCCGATCTGGGGCCTCCAGGAGCCGAGACCCAGGAGGAGGCCCGGACGCCCTTCCCTGTCCCCGCTGACCGCCAGCTAACCTGGAGCCTCGAGCGCTGGGCTGATGCCTGTCCCAGCTCGCGCCCCCTCCCGAGTGCACAGGTCCCTGCTCCACTCGGCCTCCCCACTGCTCCCCCCATGCACCCTTCCCCACCCCCTCCCTCACCCCGGCTTGGAGGGTTCATCTTGCCGGGGTCCGCCCGCCCCGAGTCCCCCTTCTCCTTCGCCTCGGACTCCATCGGAGCTCCAGCCAGCGGGCTCGCAGCTACAGCCAGCGGAGTTTTGTGCAGAAGGCGTGGGTCACGGGAAGGAGGGGCCCTCTGCTTCCCTCTGCTGCCTGGCTCTGGGCCGGCGCTTCTAGGTCGGGGCTTAACTCCGGGGCTTTTTTTAATTAAGAAATTCATCCTCCCTAGAAAGGGGCTGGGGAGTGCCTTCTCTGACTCCTGTGTGCACGCAGAAGAGCCCTCTTACCTGAGTATTGATTTTCATCCATGGCAGCCCTGCTTGGATTCTCCCGGTGATGGGGCGCTCACTACCTGTCGAGTTGTTCTGTCAGCGGCTGGGATCTAGGTTTCAGCAAGGCTTAGAATGAGTCGTCAAGCCCTAGTAGCCTTGGGCGCTGGGGGGCGGGCTCAGGGGTGGTGGTGGTGAGCTGGAGATGCAGCTGGAGGGGTCGCACGGGCCTGAGACCACTGCCCCATAGCCCAGAGCTCGGCTCCAGCGCCCAGTGGACGCGCAGCTGGGAGCTCCGGGGCGTGCTTCCCCCTCAGAGGGTCCTCCCTAGCCTGCAGAATGGCGATGATTCTTGTGCTGTCGGTCAGGTGCTCCATGCAAACGTGGACGGCACGCCAAGTACCACCAGCTCTGCCGGGACGGCCGGCAGCCTCGGCTCTCTCGCAGCTTCTCTTTCATTCCTTCAGTTTTTTTTTTTTTTTTTTAATATTTATTTATTTATTTGGCGGAACCGGGGATTGAACTCGGGTCCCTACGCTTGCCAGGCAAGCGCTTATTCTACTGAGCCGTCTCCCCGTCCCACGCCTTTGGTTTTTGCTGGTCCCGCAGCACCCCTGCACCCACGCGGGGGAGGGCGCGCACGCTGCGCACGCGCAGCTGAGCCGCTTTTGCGCCTCCTCTCTCCTTAGATCTTCTGCCCCCGGATCTTTCTCCTATCTCCTGAAATTCTACCTCCCTGTTTCCTACCGCCCCTCTTCTACTTTGCTCTTGTAGTTATTTGTACTTCGCGTTTCTCGTAGAAGAGAAACCATGCGATCTTTAAGCCCATGTGTCTGATCTGTGTTGCTTAACATCGTGGTGTTAAGGTGACCCATTTTGCTGCACGTGAGTCGTTTGTCCTTCTTTATGGCAGAGTAGTGCTCCATCGTGTGTACGCGCGCTTGCCTTATCCGGCCATCCATTGATGGGCATAGAGGCCGCTGGTACGCATTTGTTTATAGCAGCGCAGCCTTGCGGGAGCTCAGCTTTCCGCTCTGAAAAATGGGTGAGACAATATCGGCCGACCCATGAGGCCGTGGTAGGGCATGATACGCTGATGCCGGTGAGGCTTTCTAAATGTTTATTGGGCTGGTGACATGGCTCAGCGGTCTAAATGCCTGCCTGGCAATCGCAAGGACCCGGGTTTGATCCCTGGTGCCGCATGCCGTGCTGGGCATGGAACCTTGGGCACACCACTCTGGCCACCGAAACCGGGCGTGGTGGGGCAGCCCTGTAATCTCAGCGCTGGGAAGGCTGGGACAGGAGGATCACTATGAATCCGAGCTGCGTAGTGAGACCCTGTACCAGATAAAAAAATAATTAAGCTCTCTCTCTCTCTCTCTCTCTCTCTCTCTCTCTCTCTCTCTCAAATAAATAAAAATTAAAAAAAAGGGGGGGGGCTGGAGAGATGGCTCAGTGGTCTAAAGCACCTACTTAGAACAAGCTTAGCAAAGCATCAGGGACCACGGTTCAATCCCCCAGCACCACATGCCAGCCAGCCCCGCCCCGTGGTGTGCTGAGCTGGCCACACACACACACACCTCTCTCTCTCTCTCTCTCTCTCTCTCTCTCTCTCTCTCTCTCTCTCTCAAATAAATAAAAATTAAAAAAAATAATTAAAAACTAAATGGTTATCAAGCATCCGCTCCAGCACTAGGTCAGAGGAGAACAACCCGGGGGTCACTGGCCATTGCCCTGTGACCGTGACATGCGGCTCACCCTCTCTGAGGCCGGGGTGCTGGGGGTGTGGGGCAGCCCAGCTGCGATTAGCAGCAGATCCAGCCCATTCTGCCATCACGGGAGGAGTGCAGGGCTGTTGCCGTGCCTGAACCCAAGGTGACCAGACCTGGGGCTGGCCTCCAGCTTCCCCCTGGGTGAGTGCCTCGGTTTACTCAGTTGTAAATGGAGCGTGTATCAGTGCTGATGCCACTGGCCTGGAGAACATGAAGTAGACGCTCAGTGGTGGGGAGCTGGGGAAGCACCCTAAGCCTGCACAGCCCCTCTCGGGAACAGAGGCACCCAGAAGGGAACTCATCCCGGAATGAGGGAAGCGGGGCTCAAAACTGGGATGTCTGTCCTCTTGGCCACCCGGAGCCCTGGCTGCTGGTGGGGTCCTGACACCTGGCCGTGTCTCTATGCTCTCTGCCACCTTCCATGGCTCCCTGTGCCTCCCAAGGCTCATGCTCTCAGCCCAGTCATGCCCGATGGTGGGCTTTCGCTTCCTCTACCCCAGCACCATGTGCCCACCACTTCTGTGAGTGTCGCCAAATGCCCGATGCCCATTTCTCTGGCCAGGCCCCCCAACCTCGTCTCCCCACTCATCATCCTTCCAGACTCAGCCTGGGGCCGTTTCTGCCAAGCATGCCTCCTCACCCACTGTCACGGCCAGCTCTGTCCCTCATGGTGTGGGGATGCGGCCATGAGTCCCCCAGGCCATGCACTCACATGAGTTTGGAGCTGTCTCGTCCTGCTGGTGGGCCAGTCACCAAGGCCAGCCGGGCCAGAGCGGCACACAGCAGAGGTTTCAGCAGCAGGAGACACGCTTTCTTCCGAATGCTGGTGGCTTCTAGTTGGACAGACCAGATTGTGGGCTGGCCACCCGGAAAACCACAGCCCCCGGTTTTTCCTTGTGCCACCACAACCAGGGGAAGTCCGTACTATTATTACCTTAGTTCTCAGGTAAGGCAGCTGAGTGAAACCCCACAGTACTAATAATATTCCTGAAATGCTCAAGGAAGTGAGGGGGAGAGCTGAGATTAGAAACAGGGTGAAAACACACCAAGCCACTGAACTACTGGGGAAAGGACGGAGGTGAGAACCTGGGGAAAAGGAGCAGAAAGATGCAGGGAAGGAGACTGGATGACATTCAGGTCAAACATGATTGTGTGGCACAGATTTAGAAGTGGACTAGGCAGGCAACAACCAGTGTCCTGCATGTACTGAAAAATTTAACTTTTGCAGCCACCCTAGGAGTTTGGCATTTTGTTGCCTGGGAATGCAAGTTTCACAGTCCAAAGAGGTAAATGAACTTGCCCAGGGTCACAGAGGTAACAGAGCTGGGATTTGAACCCAACCCAGGCAGTGTAGGCTGGGCATCTGCAGCCCTAACCATGGTGGTACCCGGCCTCCCGCTGGCAACCTGCTCTTCTTCTCTCCTAACCTCCTCTTCACCCTCAGGCTTGGGGGGACAGCTCATTTCCTCAATAACCCCCGCTCCTGGATGGGCCAAGCCCTTGTCATCTGCTCTGGAAGACACCCACCTTTGTCTCCATGTCCTGCTTCTCAACTGAGACTCAGCTGAGCCGGGCCATTCACTGTTCCCCCATGGTGGACAGGGACAGGCTGGCCTATCTCCGGGACGGTGTCCTCAGAAACAGCAGGGACCATGAGTCCAGTAGCCCTCGGCCCAGCTGTAGAACTAGTGACCCTGGTGGCCTGAGGGCTCCTGGATGCCAGTCTTGAGCTTGCTCTGGGTGACTGTGGTGGTGCCAGCACACAGCATGGCTGGGCGGGTGGCCAGGCAAGGAAACAGGCAGAAGAGCATCACCCAGGGAGGCTGGGAAGCTGTTGGTGGCGCTGGGCACCAATGGGGCTTTGGGAGTGATAGGGGGACATGGACCCATAAGACACCATCCTTGGAGGAGGCTGCCCAGGGACAAGGCTCAGCAGGGGGATCCCCTGGGGGAGCTGTCACCTGGCGGGGGTGGGGATGGGACTGACCTGTGGTTGTAGAGATGGAGGCCAGGGCAGCTGGAGAGTGACAGACTCTCGGGAAGGGCGTGGAGAGTGCTTTGGCCAGGGCCTGGGCAGCCCTGGGTGTCTGCGTGGACAGTTGGCCTGCCGGAGAGGAAGAGGAGGGACCTCAGGAGCGAGTGCCGGTTCAGGACACAAGATGAGGAGGGCCTGGTCCTGGTGGGCCGGGAGGGAGTTGGGTCTTTTCTTTTTTCCTCCTTCCTACCTTATTCTTCTTTTTAAAAAAAAATTTATTTATTTTACAGTACTAAGGATTGAATCCAGGGCTTTTGTGTTAAGCTATAAACCTTAGCCCTTCCAAAAACATTTATTTATTTTTGAGACAGTGTCTTGCAAAATCACTATTTGTCCAGGCTGGGCTTGAATTTGTAAGATTCCTGCCTCAGCCTCCCAGAGCACTGGGATTACAGGCATTTACCACGGTGCCTGGCAGCACTTTTGAGCATCTCAGCATTCTTCGGGACCGAGTGTCCCAGCCCCAGCCCACCTTGTGCTCAGCAGCCCCGCAGGGTCCTTTCCAGGCTAGACCGAAGGATGCTTGAGGCCCCTGGGGTCTGAGTCACACGACTGTTCCTCTTGCTTCCCCTTTGCGGCGTCAACCCCCTGCCCCTTGCGCACTCAGGGGGAAAAACAGGATGTGGGCCCCAGAGCCGAGAGGGCTGGTTCTTCTTTCAGGTTTGGGATCGCTCACCCGGGGTGGGGTCGTGCGCACCGCCATTCTGGATCCGGATTCAGAAGGAGCCCGTCGGGGGCCCGGCGTACAGCACCCACAAAGATTCCCAGCCGGAATCCCAGCCCACCTCAACCTTGACGACTCGTTAAGTCAACGGCCCAGTTCAGCACCCGGGACAGTTCCCAGAACTCGGAAAAGAGAAGCGTTGTCCTGGGACCCTGACGCCACCTCAGTGGGACTCAGCAAAATAATCCAATGTAGTCCAGTAGTCCATAGTAGTAGTACGTTATCCGCAGGACTGGTAATGCCAGAAGTTGTTGACTTGAGCCTTTTACAGCTCAGCATATTAATATGGCTTTACTTTTGATACCTCATTTTTATACTTTTCTGCTGGATGTTAAGACCAAGATAAAGCAAGACCTATATAACAAAAAAATTGTAACTTTTGTATCAGACAAGGTCAGTCAAATCCCCTCAGGATTTATCTTGAAACCCTGTACTGCACCTACAATATTTAAATGGCAATGGAATACCCATCTGTGACAAAACTAAACAAAAAGGGAATACAAATGAAGGACCATTTTGTATCTGTATATACAAAATAGTTAGGATAGATATACAACTACTTTCTCTTAATTCAATGAGAAGAAAGATTTATACTAATAGTATTTGGACAAGATATCATGTCTGCATCATATACTATGAATAACTGGCCAGGGACATGGCTCAGTGAAATAAGCACTTCCCTAGCAAGTGCAAGGGCCTGAGTTCAGTACCTGGTTTCACCAAAATATATACTATGAATAAGTACTACAAAGACAACAATATGCAGTGTATTAATTCTTGAAACTGTCCTATTAATTGGTTTTGAAACTCTCATTGTTATTTATTTCTCAATAAAATTATATTTAAAAAAAATGGGACTCAGCTGTGTACTCAGCCTCACCTAGTGTTTTCAAGGGGAAAAGAAGCCTGTGATGGGGATAGGAGGGAAAGGACACTAAACATCCTCAATCCAGGAGGGCTTTCAAGGAGGAGTTGTTGCTGTTGTTTTGTTTTGTTTTTGTATTGAGGTATTAGCCCAGGATCTTTACATTGGCAACACCCTCGGATCCCCTTTATCCTTTTCTGGTTTTGAGAGAGGATTTTTTTTTTTTTTTTTTTTTTTTGTCTTTAGCACAGGGTGTACAGGATTTCACTGCATGGATCGGACTCATAGTGATCCACCTGTTTACAGCCTCCCAAGCTCTGGGATTACAGGGGTACACCACCACGCCCAGTCTCAATTGCCGTCTCAGTGCACCCGGGGGGTGGGGCTGTCATGGCAGGCCCAGGGATAGAACTCCCGGCCCCTGCATCTGCCTAAGCAGATGCTTTAATCTGCTGAGCTATTTGGCTGGCTTGAGAGAGGATTTTGATTTCTTTTTTTATTTTTATTTTTTATTTTTGGAGGAACCAGGGATTGAACTCAGGCCCTTGTGCTTGTCAGGGAAGCATTTATTCCACCGAGCCATCTCCCCAGCCCCTGAGAGAGGATTTTGAGAACTCACTAAATTGCCCAGGCTGGGGTTGGATTTGTGAACTCCCCACTTCCATCTTCTGGAGTGTTGACCAGAAGGCAAGGATTGATACCCCCACCCCTAGCCTGCTGGAAGTCACTGCTACTTTAAAACATGGTGGCTAGGTACAGAGAAAGAGGAAGTGCTTTTTCAGTTTGTTTATTTGTTTTTGAGACAGGATTTTGCTATGTAGCTCAGGCTGGGCTTGAATGCACTGTCATCCTCCTGCCTCAGCCTCTTGAGTGCTGGAATTATAGGTGTGCACAACCATTCTTGCTTTTCAAGATTTTGTTTAAATTGTGGTCAAATACACGAGACACACAATTCACCATCACAGTTACGTGTAGCTGTACAACTCCGTGCGTTCACTGCATTCGCAGTGCTGCCCTCAGGGCTGTACCCTCTCCAGAACTTTCTCGTCTCCCAGGTGGAAATGCTGACACCACTCCCAGCCCCTCCCCAGCCCCACCCCACCTACGTCTGGACTCTGTGGCTGTCATGGGTGGCTCCAGGCAGTGCTGCATGTGGAGTCCTGCGGTGTGTCCTTTGGGTCCTGGTTTCTTTTCCTGAGCGTCATGTCCTCTGGGTCTATCCATGTTGCCACATGAAGATAGTTTTGCACCCATATGTGTGCAGAAATGTGGGGCAGTTGCCAGCACAGGGGGCAGGGTCGGGTGCTAGGGGAGGAGGTGTCAACCTGGGTGGAGAGGCGCTGAGTGGGGAGAAGCAGATGGTGAGCCCCGTTCAGCTGAAAGGCTTCCCCACAGCACATCCACCCCTGTGATCCCAACACAGTTCCTCCTCCCCTGCCAGTCTGGGGAATCCGTGTGAAAGGCCAGCATCTATGCCCTGGGGACACCCCGACCTCGATGTATAACTCCAACAATGCCTGTGCCCCTCACACCTTGGCTTCCCCCAAATAGGAAGCCCCTCCATACCCAGGTGCTAGACAGCACCTCCTGGGGAGCCCCAGAAAGCTCAAAGCTCCCAGGGGACCCCCGTGCTATGGGGAAGTGAGGTTCTGAAGAATTAGTGGGGCCCGGATGAGGGCAACTGGGATTCAGTGGGGCAAGAATTGTGGCATGTGGGGCCCCCAACCCACGGATACACACACATCACCCAGATAGACACACACTAGACAGGCACACACACTGACTCACAGACACCAAACTAGCAAGTCACAGACACACATCCAACACACAAGCATCACACAATAATAGTCCCACACAGATGACCACATGTGAAAAAACACATGATCCAACTACAGATTAGAAACAACACCCCACACAGATACAGCCCACAGACAGCTACACAACATATGTACAATGATAGAGACCACATCACACAATCAAACCACAGACACAACCCAAGAGATTCACAACACTTAGGGAGATGGAGACAAGTTCATAGAAATAGATACCATATAACTGACCCACACAACCCGCACACCACAGACACAGCAAGAAGACATAGGAACAAGCTGCGGATATCTACGCAACCCATACACAAAACACAAGATCACACAACACAACCAAAAAGCAG